TCTCCAAAGAGAAAGGAAAACTTGAAATCGCATCATATGACCCCTTTAATATGTCAGGCATTACAGGGTTAAATGCATTCTGAAACCTACATTTATCACTGTCATCTTGTGTTTTTGATTTGTTTTTATTTTTGCATCTTTATTAGAGTTTGTTTATGGCCACCATAATCAAAATGCTGAAGTTTTACTCTGGTTTGTTCTCTCTGTAGTGAGTTATTACAGTCTTTAGACATGTGTGCCAGTGATCCTGTGGCCATTGCACGCTGCTTTGTGGACAAGGTACTAAATACAAACTTAAACGAAATATCCCGTTCAGAATGTTCCTTTATGAAACTGATTCGTTTTCTCTCCTTTCGTTTGCAGAGCGAGTATTTCGAGATCTACACGCAGTACTGTACAAGCTACCCTAAGTAAGTAAAGCGCTGTGTTAAATGCAGTGTGTTTGCGCCGCAGGTGCGAGCGAGCGCTGATGCATGTGACAGATTATTCCTCTGAGTCAGTAACGTCCTTCATGAACAGCATCAGACAACATCAACATCAGTCTGCTTTAGGAACGAATGTTTAGATATTATTTGTTTGTTGTATTTAACCTTTCGGTGGTGTAAACCACCAGGGGTCATGACCTGTGACACCTACCCACAATTTTATATGACCAGTGTTATTTTCTATACTATTATGGATTTTATTAATATTTCAATTTAGTTTTTATTTTTATATATTTTCTGTTTTTGTTTTTTTTTCAGTTTTACTTGTCTTGTGTTTTTTTGTCATTTTTATTAGGTTTAGCTTTTTTTAATATGTCTATATATTTTGTTTTGTTAATTTTTATTTCAGTTTTAGTTTGCTATTTTAGTACATCAAGTTAAAGTAAATGAAAATGAAAAATATTGCCTTGGTAACTAACTGAAACATTTTTTTTTTTTGTCAAGTAATTATTTTTTTATTTGTTGTTTTTATTTTTATTTTATTTATTTTTTTTTGTTTATGTTTTTATTTTAATTATTTTAAGTGTTTTTTTTGCCATTTTATTAGTTTTAGTTTTTTTTATATCTATATATTTTTAGTTTATTTTTGTTTCAGTTTTAGTTTATTTTACTGCATCAAGTTAAACTTAATGAAAATGAGAAATGTTGCCTTGATGACTAGCTGAAATAAGTTTACTTTTTATGCTTCTTTTATGGTTTTAGTTTTACTTCACTATAATAAGCCTGTATATGATTGTCATTTTTATGTCATTGTATGTTTGTTTATTTATTTATTTATTATTTTTTAAATAAAAAACAGTTTAAAGATTCAGTAATTCATATATCATAGCAGGTTTATTATAGTTAACTAAAACTAAAAACATAAAGATCATTTTCATAAAAATGAAACAAAATAAACTGAAATAAAATAAAATAAAAACTCTTATTTTATTTCAGCTAGTTGCCAAGACAACATTTTTCATTTTCATTTGGTTTAACTTGATGTACTAAAATAACTCAAACTAAAACCGACATGTAAAAAATAATAAAAACTATATAGATATTACATAAAAATGAACTAAACTAAAAACACACAACAAAATGACTATAACTAAAATTAAAATGAAGACAAAGTATAAAAATAAAAACTAATTTAAAATATTAGTGAAAACTATAATAGTATCTCAGAAATACTAAAAAAAAAAACAGCATCAGAGGCAAATTTTTAGCATAATTTTTGATGCATAAAGCAATAAATTATAATACATTAGTGTGCTTATTTCTCTTGAGTCTCTTCACAGACTAAGCTCAAGCGCTCTCTTCCATTGGGCTCTTACCTGCTCAAACCAGTTCAGAGGATCCTCAAATATCACCTGCTGCTTCAGGTGCGACCACGGGTTTCCCTTCAGGACATTTCCAGAGCAAAAAACACCATGCCAGAAAGTATTTGAACAGCTCAGTAACACTTATAAATGTATGACTGATAATATGTTGATGCTGTCCAAAGAGAGAGCATAAATTGTCTTTTATAATACATTATATAATGACTTGTGTAATGTGAACATTCAGCAGGAAATGATGTTGGGTGGGTCTTTTATGTTTTTTGTTCATGATTATTAGTTAATATCATTTCCCTGCTTGCGTAGTTAACTCAAACGTTAACTAAATCCAAAAATTAATTAATTAATTAAAAATAACAAACAAAAAAATTGTTACTTAAAATAAACATTAGCTGAAATAAATAAATATATATATATATATATATAACAAAAAATTTAAATTAAAATAAAACGAATGAAAATGAACAAAAAACTCGACAAACATATATAAAAAAACAACTAATAGAAATTACAAACACACAACATAATTACTGGAACTATAATTACATTTTAATTGAAAATGAAAAATATAAAAATATATATATTCAAAATATTATAATATTCAAAATATATCAAAATATTAAAATAATATATATATTAATATCTCAGTGACCCTAACGCTGCTGGAGTTTTTTTTCCTTCAATATTTCAATAATTTAACAACACGTTCATGTTTCTCTGATGTAGGTTAATGATCACATGACATGCAGCTAAACACATACAATTTTTATATTTTTATTGTTTTTATTTTTTAATTATTTGTGTATTTTAATTTAGCATTTTTATCACACAATCAATTATTCGCTTTTCATCGACTCACAAACCCCAGTTTGGGAAACCCTGCTATATAGTAACATCCACGGATGAATTGTGCGACATGTTCATGTCACTTTAGTTCAGAAATCTTGGTTATTCGTCATGTCATCTTCAGACGGAGATTTTTATACATAGTTCCGTGTGTTACTCTCGTGTTGGCAGACAGAGTCTGACTGTGTTTTTGCTCTTCTGAAGGAAATTGCCAAACACTTTGACCCTGAGGAGGACGGGTACGATGTGGTGATCGAGGCCATAGACAGCATGACCGGAGTCGCCTGGTACATCAACGACATGAAGAGAAAACACGAGCACGCCGTGAGACTTCAGGTCTGTGTTACCATCAAAACACTGTAGGACTAGTTATCAGAACTCATGCAATGCATCAAAACTAAAGCAGGGTGATTATAGTTACCTAACAATAAAACCATGAAGCAAACCTTTTCATTGCAAGAAGTAAAATAAACTGAAATAAACTAAATTATTTATTTATATATATATATATATATATATATTAAATAGTTGCTAAAGCGACATTTTTCACTTTCATTTAGTTTTACTCAATGAGCTAAAATAACTAAAACTGAAATTTAAAAAAATTATAAAAATATATATATTTATAAATGGCAAAAAAACAAAAAAAATTACAAAAACTTTAACTAAAATTAAAATGAAAACACAAAATATAAAAACTAATTCAAAATATTAATAAAAACTATAATAGTATCTCAGTGATACTAAAATAACACTGATATGAAATAAACATCAATTTAAATAAAATATATATTAAAAAAACTATCTTGTAGCCAAGGCAACAGTTCTCATTTTCATTTAGTTTAACTTGATTTACTAAAATAACTAAAACTGAAATAAAAATGAACAAAAACTATATAGACAAACAAAAAGCGAATTACTAAAATTAAAATGGAAAACTTAAAAACTAAAACTAATTCAAAATATTAATAAAAACCATAATATCTCAATGATACTAAAATAATACTGATACAAAAATAATCAAATAAAGTTAATTTTTACATTTTATCTTATTTTTTTCTAATTGCCAAGGCAATATTTCTCATTTTCATTTAGTTTAACTTGATATATCAAAATAACCTAAATTAAAACTGAAATTAAAAAAGGAAAAAGGGGGAAAAAACTAACTAACTAAATTACTAAAACTTTGAATAATACAATTACAACAAATAATTTGTTTTTAAAAGTTTAAAAACACAATGCAAAAAGGTACAGTACAGAATGTGTGGCCTAGCTGATATCAAAAAGCTGATTTAACTTACTGACTTTTGCAAGAGCTGAAAATAACTTCAACTGAAATAGAATTGCTTGTTTACCATTTTAATAATTCACATACACATTGTAGGCCTATCATATTATTCATTCACTCACATCTTAATGTCTGTTATGAAATGAAAAGGGGGTGGGGGGGTGAAAACTAATTCAAAATATTAATAAAAAGTATAATAGGATCTTAATGACACTAAAATAACAGTGATATGAAATGAGCAAATGTTTTTATTACTGCTCTTGTCAAAGGGTTTTATTCAGGACGTGATTAGTGAGAGTATTAATCCAGTACCAGAGGAGTAATGTTGTTCCCTGACCTCCATTACTCCTCTCAGAGTGCTGTTTTATCATATCATATCTCATTATTGGATGGAATATGACTGTATTCGGTTTATAATGTTAATGAGCGTCAGGCAAACACATCATATCATACTCTTTGATTAATTCTAAACTGAAGTCCTGACTCATGAGCTGAAGGATCTGTTCATTAATGGATCTGGGTCAGCACACGCTGTTGTTATAGAGCCATATGCATGCTTAAAGATCACCGATTAATGATTCAATTACTGCACAAGAACTGACGCCATTCTGTTCTGTTCTATTCTGTTTTGTTCTATCCTATCCTGTTTTATTTTATTCCATCCTATAAAATCATTTTCTATTCTATCCTATCATATCCCCTGTTATGTTCTATCATATTGAATTCTATTCTATCCAATTTCATTCTATTCTATTCTATTCGATCCTATTCTATCCAATTCCATTCTGTTCTGTTCTATTCGATCCTATTCTATCTTATTCTGTTCTATCATGTTCTGTTCTATTCTATTCTATCCTGTTCTGTTCTATTCTATTCTATTCTATCCTATCCTATCCTGTCCTCAATTACTGCACAAGAATCTATCCTATTGTATTCTATTGTATCCAATTCCATTCTGTTCTATTCTATTCGATCCTATTCTATCTTATTCTGTTCTATTCTATTCTATCCTATCATATCCCGTTATATTCTATTGTTCTATCCTATTATATCCTATCTTTTTCTATTCTATTCTATCCTGTTCTATTCTATCATGTTCTGTTCTATTCTATCCTATCCTGTTCTGTTCCATCCTATTGTATTCTATTCTATTCTATCCAATTCCATTCTGTTCTATTCTATTCGATCCTATTCTATCTTATTCTGTTCTATCATGTTCTGTTCTATTCTATCCTATTCCGTTCTATTCTATTCTATTATAATCCTATCCTGTTCTGTTCCATCCTACTGTATTATATTCTATCCAATTCCATTCTGTTCTGTTCTATTCGATCCTATTCTATCTTATTCTGTTCTATCATGTTCTGTTCTATTCTATTCTATCCTGTTCTGTTCTATTCTATTCTATTCTATCCTATCCTATCCTGTCCTGTCCTGTCCTGTTCTGTTCTATCCTATTGTATTCTATTGTATCCAATTCCATTCTGTTCTATTCTATTCGATCCTATTCTATCTTATTCTGTTCTATTCTATTCTATCCTATCCTATCCTGTTATGTTCTATCATATTGAATTCTATTCTATCCAATTTCATTCTATTCTATTCTATTCGATCCTATTCTATCCAATTCCATTCTGTTCTGTTCTATCCTATCCGAACTTATCCTATCCTATCCTATCCTATCCTGTTCTGTTCTGTTCTATCCTATTGTATTCTATTCTACCCAATTCCATTCTGTTCTGTTCTATTTGATCCTATTCTATCCTGTCCTGTTCTGCTCTACTCTATTCTATTGTGCGTGCAGGAGATCCAGTCTCTGCTCATAAACTGGAAGGGTCCGGATCTGACCACATACGGCGAGCTGGTTCTGGAAGGAACGTTTCACGTCCACCGCGCCAAAAACGAGAGAACCCTCTTCCTGTTCGATAAGATGCTGCTCATCACCAAGAAACGAGGGGAACATTACGTCTACAAGACTCACATCTCGGTATATGATGTTATTCATGCTTAGACATCATCTGTTAATTAGACCAAGGATTCTTAAACGTTTTCATCAGCCTAAACACTTTGACATAAAATATTTACTTAAGAGTCCCCCTGAGTTAATATTTCAATGATGTAATAACACGTTCACGGTTTTCTGACGTCTGTTAATGGTCACATGACATGCAGGTAAACAAATGAAATAGTTAATTATTTTATTAAGTGTTTTTTAATTTGTTTTTATTTTACAATTATTTAGTTCCATTTCACATTTTTGTTTTTATTTTTTAGTAATTGTATTTTGATTGGTTTTATTTTAAATTTATTAATGTTTATTTTTTACATTTTTATTGTTTTATTCATATTTAGTAAGGGATTTATTTTGACTGGTTTTTTATTAAATTTATTTATTTCCATTTTACAGTTTTTTTTATTAATTTTATTGAAGTGTTTTATTTTGTTTAGTTTTATTTTTAAATTATTTCCTTTTTACATTTTTGTTTTATTCATTTTAATAGGTGTTTTTTTTTTTGTTTTTTTTACATTTTTATTGTTTTATTTATTTTTAGTAAGTGATTTATTTTGACTGGTTTTATATTAAATTTATTTATTTCCAATTTACAGTTTAATTTTTTAAATTTTATTTAAGTGTTTTATTTTGTTTGGTTTTATTTTTAATAAAACAATTTTTTTACATTTTTGTTTTAATTTTATTAGGGGTTTTATTTTGTATAATGTATTTTCATTTAAAAAAATGTCACTTACCAAACAAAATATGTTTAATAACTTCTGATTTGTTCACTAAGTATTAGAAATTCATCTGTCTGTGATGAAAAGCACTCACGCTTCTGGCTGTGTAATAATTGAGTAAATTGAGTAATAATTGAGTAAATCACCTTTTAAAAGCGACTTGACAGATTGTAGCAATTACAATATATAACCAGTAGGTGGCGACAAGTGACTGTTAAAAGAATTCAGTTTCACACAGGAATAAAAACAATTAAGTCTTAATAAGCGAGTCATTGAATCATTCATTCAAACAGTTTTTTTTAATAATTCATTGAATATTGAATATTTTTTAAATAGACTACAGCAATTAGCATTTTGTCAGAACCTCTAGTAAATTACGTCATTTTGTTTAGTTGTCTCTTTTGTTTTTGTTCAGAAACGTGAGAGCATCATGATCTCTATTTTAAACAAAACGGGGAAAAAAACTGAAAAGAAAAAAAAATGGTTATTCTCAGTTTATCCAAAATCTTGCAGCTCTAGTTAGTCATTCACTCACATGTCATGTAAACAAATACATTTTATGTTCTTTCTTTTATTTTGTCTTATCTCTTTCAACCCTAGCAAAACCCCTGATCTGGACAAAAGCCACTATTATTGGTTCTAAATTGTTTTTCATAAAACCAAAGTCAGATTGAGTTTTGTACAGAGTCATTCTACCATCTAATAAGTGATTTTCATTCAGAGAAAACATGTTGTTTGTGCTGTTTTGCTTGTGTTCAGTGTTCCACACTGATGCTGATAGAAAGTGCCAAAGATTCGCTGCGCTTCAGCGTGACGCATTACAAGCACCCCAAGCAGCCGCACACGGTTCAGGTGAGTTTGAGATCACGGCCCACAAATGACCCGTTCAAGCTGTTTATTGTGTTTGCTTTAATCATAGGTCATTGTGTTTCTCAGGCCAGAACGGTGGAAGAGAAGAAACTGTGGGCTCATCACATAAAGAGACTCATTCTGGAGAACCATCACGCCGTTATCCCGCAGAAAGTGCGTACAGTAACCGATCCACCAATGTCTGTCTGAATCAGCGATGCTGTAATAAACCTGATCTGTTATTAAGACCAGGGATTCCTAAAGGTTTTTGTCAGTCGAACCCAGACTTGTTTTAACTCCGATATTTACTTAAAGTTCCCCTGAGATTTAATTAAGTTCATATTTCAAGATTCAAGATTTTTTTTGTCACATACATGGTTATATAGGGAATATATGACCAGCAGTGAAATGTAAGTTGATTCAATATTTTTATTTATTTATTTTGATTCATTATTTTTATTTCAATGATTTAATAACACATTCACAGTTCTCTGATGTTGTCTTTTGATTTGTTTTTATTTTGAAAATTTTTTTCATTTTACATTTGTATTTTATTCATTTTTAGTGATTTCTTTTGACTGTAAAATAAAAAGAAATAGTTTTGAAATAAAAACATTTTATTTTCTTCGTTTTTAGTAAGTGTTTAATTTTGATTGGTTTTATTTTAAAATTATATCCATTTTACATTGTTGTTTTATTCGAATTTAGTTCAGTTTAATTTGATTACAGTTCTTTATTTTCATTTTACATTTGTATTTTATTCATTTTTAGGGTTTTATTTTTGTTGTTTTATTCATTTTAAGTAAGTTTTATTTTGATTTGTTTTATTTTAAAATTATTTTTGTCATTTTACATTTTTATTATTTTATTCATAGTTCGCTTTTATTTTGATTGTAAAATAAAAATAAATAGTTTGAAAATAAAAACATTTTTATTATTTTATTTATTCTTAGTGTTTAATTTAGATTTTTTTTGTTTTAAAATTATTTTTTCTTTTTGCATTTTTATTATTTTATTCATTTTTAGTGTTTCATTTTTGTTGTATTTATTTTTAAATTATTTATTTTCATTTGACATTTTTATTCATTCATTTTTATTTATTGTATTTTATTCATTTTTAGTAAGTGTTTAATTTGGATTGGTTTTATTTTAAAATTATTTCCATTTTACATTGTTTTATTAAATTTTAGTTAAGCTTATTTTGATTAAAATTATTTATTTTCATTTTACATTTGTATTTTATTCATTTTTAGGGTTTTATTTTTGTTGTTTTATTCATTTTAAGTAAGTTTTATTTTGATTTGTTTTATTTTAAAATTATTTTTGTCATTTTACATTTTTATTATTTTATTCATAGTTCGCTTTTATTTTGATTGTAAAATAAAAATAAATAGTTTGAAAATAAAAACATTTTTATTATTTTATTTATTCTTAGTGTTTAATTTAGATTTTTTTTGTTTTAAAATTATTTTTTCTTTTTGCATTTTTATTATTTTATTCATTTTTAGTGTTTCATTTTTGTTGTATTTATTTTTAAATTATTTATTTTCATTTGACCTTTATATTCATTAATTTTTATATTTTATTTTATTCATTTTTAGTAAGTGTTTAATTTTGATTGGTTTTATTTTTTATTACATTTTAGTTAAGTTTATTTTTTATTAAAATTGTTATTTTCATTTTACATTTGTATTTGATTCATTTTTAGTGTTTCATTTTTGTTGTATTTATTTTAAAATTATTTTCATTTCAAGTGTTTTCATTTTGTTCCGCAGAAAATACGTACAGTAACCGGTCCGTTTTGAAACAGATCCATGAATGTTTATCTGAATCAGCGATACTGTAATAAACATTTTCTCTGATAATTACTTTCAGGCCAAAGATGCCATTCTGGACATGGACTCGACATGTAAGTTGATTCTCAAACAAGGTGCTTCAGTGAATGACTCGTTTTTGTAGCAAAATGACATTTGAAACACTAAAACTCTTAAACTGTTTCAAAACCTGCTACTTTGTTTCTTCTCTGTTCAGGTCCAGTAAAGTACCGTTACAGTCCAGACAGGCTGAAGAAAGCATCGTCCCGTCAGACGGAAGAGTTCTCTGCTGTGTTAAAGGAACGGAGACGCTCGGGTGTGTGAATCTGGTTCTTCACTCTCATAAATAAAAGCTCAAACTTAATTTCCACTATATAATTGTTTAGGTTCTAATCTTGTCTTTGTTTTTGTTTTTTTGGACAGAACCGGCGAAACGAACTGTTAGAAGCACTAAAGGTAACAGCTCTATTTTGTTGCTTACTGGGTCATTCAGTGAGACATAAAAGCCTGAGACTGAATCACATTTAAACCTGGAAATATGCAGAAAGTTTTAACGTTTTTGAAAAATGTAAAACACAAAATTAAGCTGAAATATGTCATATAGTGCGCTATTTCTTAACAACTTCTCAAATGTAAGTAAATGAGTGTCATGGATCATGTGATTCTGTTCAGAGTCAGATTTTCTTGCTTTCATTGAATTTCAAGATGCTCAAATCATGCTGGAGAACATCATGATCATCAGGATTTGTTCATGCTGCTGCCATTAAAGCAAAATGGATGCACACAACAAAAATCATTTCACTTTAACAAAATGTAGCTCTTATAGGCTTTATCATGAGAATGAATTTTATGATCTTTCTGTATTAGCAAATATATGCATTTAAAAAAAAATCATATTTGTATTAAATTTAACAGTAATCAAACACTTCCTGACACATAGTAAAGGGGGAAAAAATAATTATAATTAAATTAAATGAGTTTTCTGACCTTCTTGCAATATTAGCAAATATTTGCATATTTTTAAATAATTTAAGAATTTTTAAATATTCATTTTTAATAATATTTTCATTGTTTAACACATTAAAACACAACAATCAATTTAAAATAAATAGTAAATAAATAATAATATAATAAATAAATAACATAATAAAATTATAGTATAAGTATATATATAGTTTTGCATTTATTTTGCAAAATGCATGCATATATATATATATATATATATATATGTATGTGTGTGTGCATTTTGTAAAATAAATGCAAAACAAAATGCATTCAAAAAAGGATTTTGTCTTTATTCTCTTTATGTAGTTTTGATTGACTGACTGATTAAAGAAGCGCTGTTAAACAAAAGATCAGAGATGTGCTTGGCAAACAAAGAAAGTTTCTAATCATAGCTCTGTCATCTTGAGCTCACGGCAGGTGTGTGCTGTTTGTTTCCGCTCATGTGGGAGACACGTGTCCCGTATGTTCTGCGCTCCCTCGGTCCGCTTTAGCATCAAAGACACATCGACTCGACTCGTCCCTCCTGTGTCAGATCAAAGGCCACAGCCCCACACACATAATGATGTTAATTATGGAGCCCATCAGCCGCAGGCTTTGTCATGCGCCAGTTCCTTTCAGTCCACAAGCCTGTTTTTGGCTCGCCGTCAGCACAAGTGCATTATGCATTCTGATTGGGAGAAAATGGAGAAAAGCCAAGCCGTTCCATCTATTCTCTCTCACACACTCTGTCATGCCGTTTTATCACCTTTCAAATTAAGTTGTCATTTCCAACCACGGCTTTTCCTGTTCCTGTCTTGGAAATCAGCAGGGAGTGTCTGTTAAGCCAAGCTCTCTCAAGTAGCTCCATGCATCCGTATTGCATGCATTTCATTGGCAGTTGATTTAATTATCTTTGCATAGACCTGGCAGAGCACACACACATTTATAATACCATGTTATGTGCAACCAGAATATAAAAATGCATCATATTTGCTGAATGAAATCCAAGTTTCTTAATAATTTTGGGGTGCTGATTTGAAAAATAATGCTGTTTTGTTGAAGCATGTCAGACTTTCTCACAAAATATGATGCTTTTTGTTGCATTTTTGCTTTTGACAACCATTTTTGCAGTGAAGAAGTCTTGTATTAACCCTTAATCTGCAGAAACACGACAGATGATTCCTGTGTTTATCTGAGCCAGATTACAACTATTTGATCAATTCTCAACCCATTTTCACATTATACATAATCCTGATTTTTTTTTTTTTGCAGATTGCAAGTTAAATATATTTTGAATACTACTTTTTGTCATTAAAACCAAAAACTTTGACATTTGACTGCTTTTGTTATTTTGCTAAGTGCATTAAAGCCGATACATTTATATAATTTGAATAATCTGCATTCCTATTTTGTGAAAAAATAAAAAGATAATTTTGAACTCTGCATCATCAAATTACCTAATATTAGGCTTTCAAAATCAAACAGTGTGCCTCATTTGAAATGCATCTGTAGATAGCCTGTTGCTAAATTGTTATATTAACATTTAATTTATTTTTGTCTTTGCATCATCTTAATCATCCATGGACGTCACTCAGGCACACTTAAGGTAAGATTTCCACGTTTACTATCCATTGCAAGCTTTTCACATTAAGTAAAGTACAAGAAACAGCTTCAATTTACATTTACATTTATGCATTTAGCAGACGCTTTTATCCAAAAAGAGGAACAAAAACAATTAGTCAAATGCATTTACAGTACAGTACACTGAAAAATTCTTTTAATAATTATTTTCTTTTCATAAATGCTATTCCGACTTAAATGCATGCAAAATCTTTATTGTCTTTAGACAAAGGCTCAACAATGCAAAGCAACTCAGCAACAATTATAAACAAAAATATAGCGTAGCACAACTCTTGAAAAACCTAGAAAATTCATCTAAAAGTTCTATTTAAAATGCTTGAAAAGGTTCCAGTTTTGTTATAGAAATTCGCTTTTTCATAAACATCCCATAATTTTTCTGTGGTGTCCAGCATGCAGACAGCGAAGGTACTTTATTAGTGGATAAAGACCGTCTTTCCATACTGCCCTCTACCAACGTCACGACCGTGAGCTCAAACCCAGAACTCAAGACTGCGTTACCTGGAATGATTCAGAACGGACAAGATCATGAATCCAGCACAGGCTCGTGGGATGACGTCAAGGATTGTAGACTTGAAGAGAAAGCAAAGAGCGCAGAGGACAGAATAGGAGGAGATAATGAAGAGGAAGATCTGATGGGAGTCGAGCAGGTAGCTGACTTTACCAGTTCAGTGTTGGCCGCCATCTCCTGCTGGCGTTATAGGGCCAAGGCTTTGCTTTTCAATCAGTTCACCACGGTGAGGGTCACCTATCGCTTTCTGTTTCACGTCCATAACCTGGTGGCCGCCTCAATGCTATTTGTCAATAACATTCCCATCTGCTGCACGCTGAGACCGATCTTTGCTTTTGCACCCACAGATCTGATGATTGCATGAATCATTGCATGGACATAACTGCATGCGTGGCCACTAATCATACATAAACACGTTTCTGAATGGACACTTGACCTACAAATTGAATGCCATATTCAAAACCTGATTTTCAAAACATTGATCACTTTTTTTAACATTGTTTATTGGGTTTTTCCAAGTTAAACACAACATTTAGATTCTGTATCTTGTATGTATAATTCCCATATACACTGCCCTATAACATACCCCAGACAGGAGGAGATAATGAAGAGGAAGATCTGATGGGAGTCGAGCAGGTAGCTGACTTTACCAGTTCAGTGTTGGCCGCCATCTCCTGCTGGCGTTATAGGGCCAAGGCTTTGCTTTTCAATCAGTTCACCACGGTGAGGGTCACCTATCGCTTTCTGTTTCACGTCCATAACCTGGTGGCCGCCTCAATGCTATTTGTCAATAACATTCCCATCTGCTGCACGCTGAGACCGATCTTTGCTTTTGCACCCACAGATCTGATGATTGCATGAATCATTGCATGGACATAACTGCATGCGTGGCCACTAATCATACATAAACACATTTCTGAATGGACACTCGACCTCGACCACTCAAAACCTGATTTTCAAAACATTTATCACTTTTTTTTAACATTGTTTATTGGGTTTTTCCAAGTTAAACACAACATACAAGATACAGAATCTAAATGTATAATTCCCATATACACTGCCCTATAACATACCCCAGACCTCCAACCCATAGTGCCACAAATAAACCGTAAATAAAATGAAACAGAGAAAATTAGATGATATCTAGTCATTCTGTTCTGTTATGCCCAAATAAGAAAGGAAACTACCCCAGTATTTGACAAACAAATCTTGACGTCTTTTCAAACGAAATGCAATTTTTTTCCAAAGGTATATAAGATGATACTTCTTTAATCCACATAGAGGTAGAAGGTGGTTTAGAATCCTTCCATCTCAGAGTTATACATTTTATGGCCGCTAGTTGGGCTAGCCTAACAAATCTCAAATTAACCCTTTGTTGATCGAGTAGTGTGGTGTCCCCTAAAAGAGTAAGTCTAGGCTCTCTAGGCACATTAGTGCCAGCAACTATGGCAATGATCTCGAAGACCTCTTTCCAATATACTTCCAAATCAGGGCAAGACCACAGCATATGTAGGAGAGTCCCTCTATCCGCTTTACATCTAGGACAAAGCTCTGAGTATGAGCTTTTAAGGGAGCTTAGATAAACGGCCACCTTGCTGGGTCTGAATGTAGTGTCTAAATTTATAGGGAAGGATATATTTCTGTTGTAGCTGCTCGAAAGACATGAGTGTGTCCTCCTCATAAAGTTTGTCAATGGTTTGAATGCCTCGATCGTACCGTTGTTTGGCTATGCCATCTTTAAGAGCAGGGGGTAGAAAAAGATTGTAATAAAAAGCAGTGGATCTGAAGAGAGTCTGCTTGCCGTTCATCTTTTTCCTGAGGTCCGTAACAATTTTAGAGGTGCCAACGATTAGTGGGTTAGCGGTCAGTTTCTTTAAACAGTTTATAGAAACAAAAGGTATTGCAGCAAGAGTTATACCCTGTACCTGGACCTCTTCTAATTGCCGCTATGCAGGGGGGGAAACATATTTTGATTGCCAAATCCAGACTATGCGCAGCTGAGCTGCACAATAATATAAATAAAAATCGGGCAATTTGAGTCCACCATTCTGAAAAGGCATACACAGTGAACTTAGTTTTACCCGCGGAATTTTCCCTTTCCATAAGAACCTAGAAATACTTCTATGAAGATCTTTAAAAAAGGACTTTGGTAACACAGGAGGGAGTGCCTGAAACGAATATAAAAATTTTGGCAACACACTAATTTTGATGGCATTTACCCGGCCAATTAATGAAATAGGAAGAGACTTCCATCTATCTAAGTCCTTTTCTACTCTTTTGAGCAGGGGAGCATAGTTTAAGTTCTGTCAGGACCACTATCGTCAAAGATGATTGACAATTAGCATACAGTTTGGATTGGCGGTATGGATCCGTAATGGGCAAGAACTCCCTGCGCATCCATGCAGCCTAGCATGGATGAGAGCAGGGAGAGCAGCGATAACCCCCCCCCCAGGGTAAACACAACAGAACCAACATAAATGTATTGCAGATATCGTTAAAGTGCAATAATTTTATGTACACATTTTAGAAATTTTAGTCTGATTCAAAGGAGAATCAGAAGGCTGAATCCTGACAACACAGGAGGAGCTGGGGATGGAGGAGGGTAATTACCTAATGAGCAATGTGAAAACTGCTGATAATACTGAGGGACCTTATATATGAATGCTTAGATAGGTGTCGTATTCCCATAGGTAGATGGGGATCAGCTGAGAGTCAGCTGATGCGAGCTTGACTAACGTGACCTGCCAGAACTAACGCTACGCTTGATTTATATAATTGAGACAGATCTCTGGGTATTTGTAATCCCAAATACATGAATTTATCTGTATTCCAGACAAAAGGGAAATTTTTAAGGGAAAATTGGGTAGCAGCTATATTAAGAGGCATAGAGACACTCTTATTCACATTAATTTTATAACCAGATATGATTCCGTACTCTTGTAATAATGTTGACAAAGCTGGTATAGAAGAATCTACATTTGTCAAATACAACAAGTTCTGTCTGATACAGAAATTGTGTCAGATTATTATTATTATTATTTTGACAAATCTTCTATTGAACTTCAAAGAATATATAATCACAGGTACCTAAGATTATGAAAAACTCACCATAAACTCACATCAGGTGAACCACTGGTGGTTTAAGGGGTAGTATGTGATCACATAATGTCATCATTTTGATATTTGTGACCCTGGAGCACAAAACCAATCATAAGGGTAAATTTTTTGAAATTGAGATTTATACATCTTCTGAAAGCTGAATAAATAAGCTTTCCATTGATGTATGGTTTGTTAGGATAGGACAATATTTAATTGAGATACGTTTGAAAATCTGGAATCTGAGGGTGCAAAAATACTGAGAAAATCGCCTTTAAAGTTGTCCAAATGAAGTTCTTAGCAATGCATATTGCTAATCAAAAATGAAGTTTTGATATATTTACAGTAGGAAATTTACAAAATATCTTCATGGAACATGATCTTTACTTAATATCCTAATCATTTTTGGCATAAAAGAAAAATCGATAATTTTGACCCATACAATGTTTTTTTGGCTATTGCTAAAAATATACCCAAGCGACTTAAGACTGGTTTTGTGCTCCAGGGTCACATTTGTGTTACAAACATTCCAGTGATAATTTCAAAGTGGACATGTTATTTTCTAACCTAATGGCTGATATTGTTTGTCCCATGTCTTTAAGTCAATGTGCAAAGATTGTAATGTACATATGATGGGGAATTTACAGCATGTTGTGGTTATTAAGATCCAATGCATAATAATACGGGACGTCAGGTGTCTCAAAGTGTTTTTGCACTTGGAGCCACAATGAGATTTGATTGATTGAAGTTCGACTTCAAAGGGAAATTTAACTGTCAAATTTTGGGGGTCGGATGGCTTGCCTTCCGTAATTAAATTAAACAAAGGTTCCTGTTTCATTGTGTTTTGTTTGATGGCACACAAAAATAATTTCAGAAGGTCAGTTGTCTGTGGAAAAGCATTGAAATGCATGGATGCTTTTAAATGAATTGCAGATGTTTATGAAAGGTTGAAATATCACTAAAGTGATGTTTGACAGATGGCAACTGTGAACGCTGTCATTTAGTAGAACATTTACATCTGTTAAATTGCTGTAATTTTCTTTGTATCCTTAGGAGAGAGAAGGTTGTTGGGAAAATTGGCCAATGAACAAAAGCAGCCAAACACCCACTAAAGAAAAGCATAATGATACGAGTGAAAATTTGTCTCTCTTTGGACAGGTAACGTCATGTATTATGAACCTCATAATGGATCTTTCTGTCTAGTAAACCAACAAAAGTGCTGACAGTATTCAAACTATATTCTGCTTTCATTGTCAATGACTCATGTTTGATGAACATTTGAATGTGTCTGAATCCCAAAAAACCTGTCTGGGTAGGCATTGTGTACAGCCACTATGTACGTTCATATTGAAAGATCTACAGTCATATAGAAACTACTGATATTTTAGTTTCTAATCTCTTCTAATCCCTATAATATATTGTGTATGACTGATGTTGGGTTCAAAAAAGACAAGGCAGATAAACTCTTGTCAAATGGCTAAACCCTCACCTTTGTCCATATTGTTGCACACATCCACATAAAAGTGAATTCTGAGAGTAAGGTTGCTTCTGGAAATACTGTGGGAATTGTTTTCTCAGCATTCACTATTGATAATTGGTTAATCGTAAAAAAAAGTGAAGGGGAGAGGGTTGGAAATATAAATTGCAGCGGTCTCAAAAAGTTAGATAAATTGCACTTGTTGTTTCATGCTGGTCACTTAGCCATATGGGAGATGCTGGAGATTGAATTAAGTTATCTTTACATCCTCTTTCCTTATCCTCTTCATAGCTTCCTGTAGCAATAACTTACTTCACTCTGTCCGCTTTCTAGAGCTCAACTGGAGAACGCAGTTCACAGAAGATCTTCTCTCCCTTTAGCGAGTCAGAGGAGACAGGGGTGGACCAATCAGATAATTATCCCGAAATGTGTGGGACAATAATGGCAGGATGGCACACTGATCCAGAGATAGTACACCTCAATAATAGAGGACAAGAAATCAGAGATAATATGGAGGACTGTGTTGTATTCCCATCCCCTACTGGACTTGAAGTACAGGAAAAGGAAGGGACTCCAGCCAGCAGGAACCTCTCAGACGATGTGCAGAACTTGGAGGTAGATGTGGACGTTGAAGCACCTGGTGGCCTCTTGTCTTCATCCGTACTGGACAAGGCAAGCAATATCTCAGAGCGATGTGCCAGCAGCCTCTCTCGAAGAAGTAGTCTAGGAGTCGAAGGGTCGTTTGACTTGGGCTGCCCATCTTCTCGGTCGGAAAGTAGAAGAAGCAGTTTGCTCAGCAGTGGTGCTGAGTTCCATGAGAAAGACAAAGGCCAAGAGTTTAGACGGTCCACTCCAGAATCAATTACGGAGACTGTTCCTGACAGCCCGTTCATACCAGACCAAAGATCTGAAAAGAAACAAGACACCCTTTCCAAAAAGGACCAATTGCTCATACATAAGATTCAGTGGTACTACAAACATGCTGAGCACCAGGATGCCAGCTTTGCTGTCAAACGCAGAGAGAGCCTTTCATACATCCCTGCAGGCCTAGTCCGTAATCTGAGCCAACAACTCGATGACCTTGCAGACCAGGATTTGGCATTGCATAAGAGGGCGTTTTCCATCACAAGGCCAACTTTATGGTCTGTCTTTAATATATCAGGCTTGGGGGTTGACAAGAAAGCAAAGGATAGCTCTGATTTTGTGGTCCCTGCAAATGGCAAAGAGTCCAAGCTTAGAGATCAAAGTGGGAATGAGGAATTCCAGCCTGCATCTGACATGGTTAAAGTGTGGCAAGTCATGGAAATGGAGATAACTGGGACTTCTGAACAACATCAGGACTCAGAGAATTCCCAAATGACTACACCTGGTGAAGAAAAGAAAGCAGAAGCCAGTAAGGTGAGCTCGGATAGTGGACTTGGGGAACCTCTAGTAATATTGGAAGAATCTGATGAACGCTCTACCTCATCCCCAATCAACAACGTCTTAGAAAAGGACAAGATGCAAGATTTCCAGAGGCATCCAAATGAGGAACACAAGTTACAAGAGCGGCACAAGGTCAACCACCCTCCTCTACCAGAGATCATCTCCTTAAGGTCCTCCAATGAGGATGAACTCATCCTTCAAGATATGGAGAAGATGAAAAATAAGGTGTTCCATTTGGCCAGGCAGTACAGTCAGCGTATCAAAAACAACAGACCGGTAGTAAGACAGAGGCCCAAGATCTCGGAGAACCATTTTGTGCCCAAGAACCTGTCTTCGGTGATTGAGGAGAGACCTCCAGGAAAAGAGAAAGGTGGGTGTAGTTTCTGAGTAGACACTTGCCAAGTTAAAGTGGTGTTCTTTCTATCATTTTGTTTTTTTTTGTTTTGGAGACACTTTCTTATCCAAACTGACCGTTCACTTTTACTTGAGGGACAATCCCCCAACTTGCAGTGTTTTGCCCGATGGCGTAGCTCAGTAGTTCCCAATCCTGGTCTCTCTTATGTGAATGTCTCTCTTATCTGACATGCATTTGAGGTCTTAGAGCAGGGTTCTTCAAATCTTGCCCTGGAGGGCCAATGCGCTGCAGAGTTTAGCTCCAACCCTGATCAAACTCCCCTGCCTGTGATTTTCTAATGATCCTGAAGACATTGATTAGCATGCTCAGGTGTTTTTGATTATTGTTAGAGCTAAACTCTGCAGGAAAGTGGATCTCGTGGGCCAGATTTGAGGATCCCTGTCTTAGAGTTTTTACTTGTGAGCTGATGAGTTGAATCAGTTGTGTTTGATCAGGGAGACAACTAAAATGTGCAGTGTTGGGAGTTCTCCAGGACCAGGATTGGGAACCACTGGCATATTGACTTAACCACTGACTTATTTGCTTAAAGGCTTGACACTTGAGATGGATATTGCACATTCTTATCCATCAAATGCTCCATCGGAGCCAGAGGTTGTGGATAGAGGTGGGTCAGATTGAAATGAAGTGAATACAGTGAATTTCCAATTTCCAGTGAAGTTCCTGGAGGACCGCTGTCCTACAGAGTTTAGCTCCAACCTTAATTAAATAAAAGAATGAATGAAGTGACGTGACGTGAAGGCCAAGTATGGTACTTGGACTTTGTCCTCTGCATTTAACCCATCCAAGTTAGTGCACACATATTAGGAGCAGTGAGTAGTAAACACACACACACACACACACACACACACACACTGTGAACACA